CGCATGGCCTGGCGCCCCACGAGTCCCAGCTGCACCTGAAAGGGGACCCCCACTACTCCTTCAACCACCCCTTCTCCATCAACAACCTCATGTCCTCCTCCGAGCAGCAGCACAAGCTGGACTTCAAGGCCTATGAGCAGGCGCTGCAGTACTCGCCCTACGGCGCCACGCTGCCCGCCAGCCTGCCTCTCGGCAGCGCCTCGGTGGCCACCAGGAGCCCCATCGAGCCCTCAGCCCTGGAGCCGGCCTACTACCAAGGTGTGTATTCCAGACCCGTCCTAAACACTTCCTAGCCCCCGGGACTGTGGGGTTGTCTGGCACGGCCATGCTGGTAGCAGGAGAGAGAGAGAGAGAGAGAATCTACAGCAAACAAACCCACACATATTATACCGACAACAGCATCATCCCAACAACTATTTTTATTTCATTGTTCATGCACAATCTTTCCCCCGGTGCAACGGACTGTTACTTTAGTATTGTATTCAAAGCTCGTTGTGTACATCATTACAAAGACAGCCAACCCCAAACCAACGTTTTTTTTTCCCTGTGAAGGTTAATGATCCACAAATGTATATATAAAATCCTCCTCCTTCTTTGCCCCCGCTCCCTTTCTTCCCTCTTTTTCCTCCAGACAACATTCTAGTCTGTGCAGGGTTTATTTAAACAAAAACAAAAAACAAAACAAAACAAAAAAAACCCCACAAAAAAAACACAAAAGATGGTCAAGTTTGTAAAATATTTGTTTGTGCTTTTTTCCCCCTCTTTACCTGACTCCCCCCACAAGTTTACAGGTCTGTGGCAATACTCTTAACCATAAGAACTGAAATGGTGAAGAAACAAGTAAACACTAGGGGCTCTTAAAAAAAGACAAGACTGCTCTTATGCAGCAAGTCCTAAACAGAGTATCAACATCAGAGTCATTTGTTTTTCAGTTTACATTTCTGATACATTCAGATAGCAGATGTCTTTAAATGAAATACATATAGATTGTGTATGGACTTAATTATGCACATGCTCAGATATGTAGACATCCTCCATATAATTACATAACATATAGAGGTAATAGATAGGTGATATACATGCTACATTTTCAAGAGTTGCTTGACCAAAAAGTTACAAGGACCCCAGCCCTCTTGTCCTCTCTACCCACATAGGCCTTGGGCATCAATTCCTTAGGAATTGCCCTCAGGAGCTCTGCTTCTTGCTTTGCAGAGTGCCATGGTCATGTCATTCTGAGGTCACATAACATGTATAAAATTAGCTTCTATGTGTGTATGCCATTTAAAGGATCCCCCCCCCCCAGAATAAAAGGGACTTTACACTGTTGGAGGAGAGATAAGTCATAGGGAGCCGTGTTTCAAAATTTGGTCCAAGATTCCAAAATCCTATTGATTGTGGCCATTTTAATTATTGCCATCGTGTGCTTGTTTTATCCAGTGTTAATGCACTTTCCACAGTTGGACATGGTGTTAGTATAGCCAGACGGGTTTCATTATTATTCCTCTTTGCTTTGTCAATGTTAATTTATTGCATGGTTTATTCTTTTTCTTTACAGCTGAAATTGCTTTAAATGATGGTTAAAATTACAAATTAAATTGTTAATTTTTATCAATGTGATTGTAATTAAGATATTTTGATTTAAATAACAAAAATAATACCGGATTTTAAGCCGTGGAAAATGTTCTTGATCATTTGCAGTTAAGGACTTTAAATAAATCAAATGTTAACAAAAAAGAATTTCTGTTATTTTCCTTCACTTAATTAAATCCAAAATGGATATTCTGAATACGCTGTTTTTCAAATTGACAAAAACGAAAATAATCTAAAACAAAATTGTTTTGTCTATGATTTTAATGAACATGTAGCTAGTGAAAAACAGTGAAAGAAATTCAGTTAAAGTGGGTACCTAAAGTGATTTAATATTCCAAGAATTGAGATTTTTTTAGGATGCTCTATTACCAGTAATGTGTACTTTGTTTTTTTAAAACATAGGCTTAAACCTTCTGTGTTGCCTTTGAGTCTTTCCACTACAGAATCGAATATGATTAATTTAACTGCCTTCTCTCCTTCCCCAGTTTATCATTTTTCCTTATCTGAGAAGTATTCGAATGACAAAAATATCGGCTGTGGCTGATACAATTAAGTTGTCTACGACTGAGTCTCCTGAACCCTGTTCTTATTAAAAGAGAAACAAAACTTAGCCATCCTGGTAGCTTTGGAGGGGTGGGAGGAGGCGAGTTAATTCGCTCCTGCTGGGGAAGCTTTGTGCCACCAGGACATTGCAGGGTAGCTGCTATTTTGTGTTTTGTGAAGATGTTTTTTAAAATATTGTTTCTAAAAATATTGTTCCTAAGAACTTAAAGCTGATTGTGTGTCTGCCTTCTAAGACGCTTGTAAATGCACCTTCACACCGTAGTTGCTTGGGATCACAAAATCATTAATCTCCCTTGATAGTAGGCTCACTTTCCAGTCCACCTATTTCTTTGTAAGTCGTGTTCGGATTGACATCGACAATAACACCACCAGCCCGAGCAGAGGCTGGCCCGCCTGAGCCCTTGTGTATGAACTCCATCCTCACCAGGGCTTGAACTTGGACAGCCTTTACTTTGATCGCCCCACTCCACACCGCGGACAAGATAAAAAGAGCTGTGTGAGTCGCTTAATTATCGCGTAATTGCCTCCCCAGACGAGAGAAGGGGTGCCGTGTCGCACTTGAGAAAAATCCAGAAATCCCAAAGCCCGGCTCACTTCGGCTGATGAAAGGAGGAGGGGAGGGACATCACAGCCACGCGTAATTTCGAAACCTAGTTTGGAGGCCTCGGAAAGGACATGAAAATCCCAGAGAGGAAGAGGCTTTCCGTTCCGACCGTTATCCATATGTACACAGGGTTACAACGCTGGCAAATCCAAATTCCAAATGTCACACAAAGGCGTGAGCGTGGGCCTCGGAATTTTACCCGGCCCCGCTGAATCCCAGGCGTCTAGCTGCGGGGTGCTGCGCCCTCCGAGATGCTCCCTGTCTCGTCTTTAGCTTATTAGCCAGACCCCCGGGTCGCCTTCGCTCCTCCCGGCTGGAGTCGGCCCGGCTCCGGCTCTCTGACTTGGCGGAGACTCTCCTGGCTTTGCGGGGGACAAGACGCCGCAGGCTCGGAACCCGGGCCACGTGGACACTCGGAAGCCAGAGCCGTGGGGAGCGGGTCTAGCCCCGGCGCAGAGGCGCCCGCGGGCCAGGGCCCGCCTCGTGGGCTGCCCGGGACCCTCCGGCCGCGGGCTCTGCGCCTCCGGGCGGCGCGACCCGCGCGTCACGACGGGCGCGGGCGAGCGGCCTGGGCATCTGGTCGCCGGGAAGGGAGGACACGGCGGGACGGCGAGCGTCTCGCGGGGACCAGAGCAGTTCGTTCTTCGTCGTCTGGGCGTTTTCCTCTCCCGGCGAATAGATCTTCTGCTGAGCCCGAGACCTAAAAGTCAACAAAGCAGGCCAGCCGCCTCGTCGCGGCTCCCGCGGCCCCAGCGGCCCGCGTCGCCGCGGCCGCTCCCGCTGCGTAATCCCTTCCTCGGAAG